CTAAACTGACCCTAAACCTAAACCTTGGTGTTCTCCTGCCCGCTGAATCCCAACCGGCTCGGGGCGGGAGCGCCCAGTCCGAGCCCCCGCCGCCAAGGCGGGGTCACCCCGGAGCAGGCGGCACAGGGACGCGTTCGGGTGGGTTGGGAATTGGGAACGTCTCCGCAGAGGGAGATTCCACGACGAAATCACAGGATGTGCTGAGGTGGAAAGGACCCCAGGCCTGGCAGAGCTCAAGGAGCGTTTGGACAACGCTCTCAGGCACACGTGGGTGTAGGGCCAGGAGATGGACTCGCTGGTCGTTGTGGGTGCTCTCCCACTCAGAATATCCTGTGATTCTTCCTGATGTTGAGGTGGAACTTCTTGTGGTTTAGTTTATGGCCGTTGCTCCCCGTCCTGTTGCTGGGTACTGCTGAGGAGAGTCTGACACTGTCCGCTTGACACCATCTGCTTCACACCTGCCTTTGAAGCAATTGTACAGATTGATGAGACCCCCCTCAGTCTTCTCCAGACTTAAAGAGGCCCAGCTCCTGCAGTCTCTCCTCCTCATCTCTGTGGCTTCTGCTGCATCCTCTCCAGTAGCTCCTTATCTTTCCTGAACTGTAGAGACCAGAATCACACACAGCACTCCAGATGTGACCTTGCTAGGGCAGAATGGAGGAGGAGGATCACCTCCCTCGACCTGCTGGCCACATTCTTCCCATTGCAAACCCTTCCCCTTAAGCCCGTCTTTCTCTCTCTCCACTCCCCCCACAACTCCCCCTGCAAAAAAAAACACTCTCCCTGCCCCAAACCTTCTTTTTCCCCTCTGTACTTGCCCATGGCTGCCTGACTGACTGCTGTGGCCAGCTGGGAGCACCCACTATAGGGAAACCAGGCCTGGAATTGGAACGTCCTTTTATTTACAAATGAAATTCACATGTCAAGACACAGCATAGCCACAAATCCCTAAATACCATTAGTTCAGATGATATTTCTACCATGACCCATCAATAGGAAAGGCTGTATTTTGTGGAAAAATAAGCTCCAAAGTTAATGACACCGTGTGAGTTGTGACAGCTGATGGAAAACAGAGTTGTGAGCAGCACAGGGACAGCACAGAACTGACCACAGACAAACTGAGGGCAGATGAGCAAAAATGGGTTTCCAAACAGTCATGAGATAAAACCAGTCAAGTTTTACACGTCCCATTCCCCCAGGGACCTAAAGGAATGATGACTTCAGTTACTGAGCCATTTCACGTGCCACAGCTCAGCATTCCACAACGATATTCCTTTCTGCACCATTAACAACAGCCAAACAACAGGCCCAGTGAAACACCCCAAAAAAACCCGCCTGAACACGGGGTCAGAGGTGGGAAGGAAAAGGAATCTAACCCAAAGTGACACGTGCATTAGCAAGGGTTTCAAAGGAACAGCTGTGAAGATTTGCACATTTAAAGGTTGTATTTCTTGCACAAACATTTTCTTCCATGTCAAGGCGAAAGTGCTTTCCGATCCAAATCAGGCAGCCCACCAAAATATGACAATTTCAGCAGCTGCTCTCATCACTGTGCATTAAAAAGAAACCCCTCATGCGGGCAGCAGTTAGGCAAGAGAAAGCCCAGCTTCCTCGGAAATCCCCCAAGCCAGCTCCTGCCCTTGTCACACACCAACAACCACTACTTTCCTCAGACAAGGCCTGGCCCTAGGCCAGAAAGCCACCATCTCAGGGGCTCTTTGCATGCAAGAAATCCAGCAGCAATGGCAGTGCGAGCTCTGTCCTCGGCCCGGACCCGAGCCACTTCCATGGCAGTCCACTGTGACAACAGCAGTAAGGGATCCTCCTCTCGCCTGCAGAGACCTGGCAGCTTTAGCCCCTGGAAACTCAGATGGGTTGTTCCCACTGTTCAGTCACCTGTATCAAGAGGAGAAAAGCAGAATGACATTCCAGACAGGCTAGCAAAACCACAGAGGTGCTCCCTGGTGACAGGCTTCCTTTATTTTGATTTATTTCGCATCCTTACCTTGCTGAAGCTGTGCACTCACACCTCTGTGCTTCACAGATCAGACAACTTGAGTTGTTTTTACCCCTCCTCACATGCAGGCAGCCAGTTTCCCCTTTTTTTGTTGTTCTATCAGCTTGCCCAACCCCAACTTCGTGAGCTGCTTCATTTCCAACACCAATGCCCAGCCCCTCAGCTCGGGAGAATGATTTACCTGGCACAGCAAGCCGTGTACTGCCCTCAGTAAGAGGTCTGTCAGAGCTACATGTCCTGACCAAGATAAAAGAATTTTCCTACTGTACTTCCCAGCTAGGTAAGTGTTCATGGAACTATCCCTTTGGAAGCCGTCAGGAGGCTACAGCAGAAATTAAAGCCCACCTTTTACAGGCAGGATCTTCTCCCTAAGGCTAGTGTTCGACTCTGGGGAAGCTGGCTTCTGATGCATCTGGCATCAAGGCCCCTGACTGCTGTAAATTGGAAAAGAAAGAGACAGGATCAATTTGCAAGTGTAGGATCAATACAGAGAACCATCACAAACCACCTCCTAAGGATGCACGCAATGCCAACTGAAAACAAATCCGTCCTTCGGTCAAATCAGACTTCCAAAACGCTCCCCCAGCATAAGGCAGTTAAGATCCCAAGGCAAGTTCAGCTCCTGCTGAGAGTCACACTGGAAATCCCTGGGCTGTGCTGCTGAGAAAGTCACAAACCAAACAAATGCAGAGCAACACAAACCATTTTATTGCTTTGATACCTGCTGCGAGGACAGGCTCGAGTTATGAAGGTCGATAGCGGCGAGGGAGGGGACTCGGGACTCTGGAACTGTTTTATTTTCCTTCTTCAGAAATCTGGGATGCCACGCTGCAAAACACAACCAAGGCATGCAGCGTGAAGTAAAAACAAGAGCTGACTGCCACTTATTTAGTACCCAGGTTTTATTTAGAGGACATCAGAGCTCCTACCTTCCACTCCTCTCAGCTCGGGGAGGTGATTCAGTTCTGGCAAACGCACATCTGCCTTGGAGAACTCCCATTTTTTCCTATTCGCCTGAAGGATGTTTTTTTCATTAGTAACCTGTAATCAAGGGCATAAGGACCAGCTCATGAAAACGCAGAAAAAAAAAAGATGCTATTTTCAAGGTTAAAAAAAGCATCAGCCCAGCAGTGTTCTGCTGTAGCTGGAATTTGTACAAGAAAAGGCTCTGATGTGTGTGAAGGAATTCAACCTGCTCAAGGCTCCTTTATGCACTATAAACAATGCAAAAGCAGCAGCAAAAATAAAAACAATCATCTAAGTGAGGCTGCTTTCTGAGAGATAAAGTGTACCACTTGGAGAATGGCTGGGATTAGTTATCTGGAACAAAGCAAACGTTCCTTGCTGACATAGAAAGAATCGTGCCTAGGTGGAGAGAGCAGTGGAAAACTTTCCATTCCACTTGTTTTCCTTATCAATTTTTAATGCATTTATGACATGACTAAACAAGGCCCTGACTGCATTAAATCCAACCCCTCACTTCTGCTTCAGTACCACAGCACACATGGTCTGCTTTTCCTGGCCAGGCAGGACGCCATGGATATACTCCAGATCTCACAGATATCCTGTGCTGGACTGCTTCCAGCATTAAAAGTTGTTTTTTGACACAAAGCATGTTTTTATGGAAGATAACTATTAGCAAAGGATAACAAACAACGAACCTGTAGGGGAAAAAAAGGGGCAAAGAAAAGAGCACTTCTAGTTGGGAGCAATGGTGAAGGATGGAACAGATGGAATTCTTGACAGTTAAACACGTAACTGGGGCCTCAATTTTATTTTTATTTTATATCTGCTTTGCCAAAGGGGAAAGCCAGGCGACTCACCGGTGTCAGGCTGACGCTGTAGTGGCCTGCAGGAGAAGGCCTCTGTTGCTTTAGCAATGGGTTCAAGTATTTTTTACTCTTTTCATCAAGTCTGTAATCAAAAACACCCCAAACTTCGTATTAATCGAGGTAAGGCGGCAAATATAAAAACAACAGAGGCAAGATACCCCAAAGTCACATTCCCACATCACAGTCCCTCAGCAAGAGGGATGATGGAGCTCTCCTAGCTCTGCTCCCATACCTGTAATTGAGGCTCCCGGGCACGGGGCCCATCCCAAAGGTAGGAGAAAAGTTCTGGTTGATGGGAGGGATCACTATGCCCGTGTTCTTGGCGTAGTCCAAGCTGCTGCTGGAATCTTTCAGGCTGGTCTGAGGGCTGATTTTGAACGGGTTGACGGCGCTGTCGTAGAGGAAGCTCAGGTTGGAGGATCGGTCTGTTCTCTCTGCATCGGCTTTAGAGCGCTTCGTCTTCAGCAGCTTCTCCTCTCTGCTCCTTGGGCCAAAATCCTGTTTGGGAAGATAAAGCATCACCTTTCCCTTCCTGTCATGTTAAAAAAGCAGCTTGCAGCAGCACATACAGGGGGACAAAAAAAAAAAAAAAAAGTCAAAAGCCTAAACCTAAACATGCACGATTCCGCAAGGATCCGATGGAGATGAAATTGTTTTTATTAGAAAACCTCTGGTTTCCATCAAACAGGAGGAAACTTGTCAGGGTTCCAGCACCCTCTGTAAATAAAGTCACTTCAGAACGGAATCAGGAACGATGGAGGAAGAGCAGCCACATCCTGTGCCACTTCCAAAGAAATTAAATAAAAACTGAGCCCAATGTCATCTCAAAGTCATTCTGAAGCCTCCTTATTTTATTTTTTTTTTTAATTTTTAATTTGGAGACAGGGCTTTAAAACAGGTAAACAGCAGCATAGAGCATGTTTCCACGATTCAACATGCTTCCCAACTGTTTCTCCCTTCAGCTCTGTATTGCCAGGAACTGCATCACCATGTAGTTCACCTGCAAGGGACTGGCCAAAGATCCACCTGCAGACTCCCATGCCATTTGTTATGAATTTTAACTGCTACACACACACTGATATAATGATTTTAAAACATGAAAAAAAAAAACCAAAAGCCAAAATACAGTTTGGGGAAAAAAAAAAAAAGATGGACCAACCTGGACACTGAATAATTTTCTTTCTTCTAAAACATCGTCTTTCTCCCTTTTGCTGACTTTGGATTTTTTTTGTAACTGACGGTCTCTGGCATCTTTCTGGATCTTTAATTTAAGTTCCTCAGTAAACCTACATTCCAAATAAGCATAAAGAAAAAAAAAATAAATAAAAGGGCTTCTGGTAAACTTAACACCATCATCAGTTGTTCAGCCCAGGCCCCCACAGATTTTTAAGCAATCAAACAAACCATGCTTTCTGACCAGTGGGAAGCTAAATATGACGTATACATTAAAATAAATAAAATCTGAAGCACACATTTTTCACATTGCAGCAATAAAAGTGCTTGTATCCCAGTCTGGAGTAGATGCAGAGAGTGAATACAGTGTTAGTCTGTACTGCCCAAAATGCTGTGACACTGGGGAATTAATGTCACAACAAGGTGAACGTGCCACTGCAACGTGTTCCCTTCCAGCTGCTCTCCTATTTCCAGGAAGGCCAAACCCAAACAAGCCCAAGACATTCGGCAGCTGTCAGTTCTGCAAAGCCAGCGTGCCACCTAAGAGCACCACTGCTTCACCTCCTGAGGCTGCTCTGAGCAAGAAATGAGCTGCTTTACCTCTCAGCAAACCCGTCCTGGTTAAAGAAATCGTGCTGCAAGAGTTCGGCGCAGGACGGTCTTTTGTCCGGGTCGATCTGCAAACACTCCTGTCAAACCAATGTGAACGTGACAAATCAGGGATGAAAACAAGGCTTTAGCCTGCCTGAGAGAGGGCAAGAACAAGGCTCCTCCCTGGGGGATATGCAGCGATCCCTCTGGCTCGGGACGTGAGGGCTGAGTGCCCCCCGTCACTCAGGACTGTGGTTTCCTCGCAGCCCTCGCTAAGCTGCCAATCCAAGCAGTTGCTCACTGCATGGGGAGCTGAGAGAAAGGCACTTTAATAGCCCTGTACTCATCTGCACAAGGTGAAGGACAAGCAAACAGAGAAATGTCCGTAGGAACCAATCAGTTAATTACCTTGGCTAAATCCAGCACGGCAGCAGAGAGCTTGGGATAGCGTTTGTCCAGAGATTCCACCTCCTTCACCTCAGGCAGCCTCATGCCAGCAAAGAGGGGATTTTTATAGAATAACTCTTGGTGCCTTGGAATTAAATTACCTGGAATCACACAAACGAAGCAGCCACATGGAAAAAAAATAGAGGACGGTGAAAGATTCGAGAGGCTGAAATACTGGGTCAGCATTACTGTGAGGCTACAGCCTGGGTTGCTCCTTTCCCACCCTTCAAAACAAATTTGATCCCTTCATTCCTGAGCAGGCACTAGGCTGTTCTTACCCAGGCATTTGGTGATATGGTAGAGCTGGTCAATGTCTGAATCTCCAGGGAAAAGGGGCTCTCCTGTAAGCATTTCTGTTATCAGGGAGCCAATAGCCCACACGTCCACAGCCCTGGGAATAAACACAACACCATCCCGGCTCAGCACGGCTTCGTTCGTTGCTTTGCTCCAAAAGCTGAGCCGGTGGAGAAGATGGAGCACTCCTTTCCCTGCTCCTCACAACCCTTCACAGCCTCACAGGCCAGACTTACTTGCCATACTTGCTGTCTCCCACCAGCAGCTCTGGAGCTCTGTACCACCGGGTCGCCACGTACTCCGTGTAAACCTCCCCGGAAGCTGCCAAGGGACGGGCAAATCCGAAGTCGCAAAGCTTCACAACTCCCGACTGGGAAACCAGGATGTTCTCTGGCTTAATATCCCGATGGATTATCTGCACAGGGGAAAGCAAGTCAAGACAAATTCCCCATTTGTACGTAGCAAACCGACTGGCTCAGCAAAAACCGCAGGTTTCTCACGCTCGGGTAGAAAATTACAGAACCCCCAACTTCAGAAACATCTATTTTATGTATCTCTCTCCCTTTTCAGCCAAAGCTTTGTTTCTGTAAGTTTTAATATATATCTGTAAGTTTTAATATATATCTGAATATATGCTTCTGTATCTATTTCTTGCTGATTTCTGAGCTGATTCCTTGCACGTACTTACATTATGACTGTGACAAAAGGCAATTCCTCTGGCAATCTGGAATAAGTATTTCCGAACCCTGTCGTAGTCCAGGCCGTTGGGAGACGCCTCCAGGTCATCGAGCACCGTGTGATCCACAAATTCAAACACCAGATACCACCGTTTCTTCCTCTTGCACACCTCCAGCAGGTTCACCAGATTCTCATGCCTGAGTTGCTGTAATAAAACAGGGAATATTTAGTGAGAGCTGGATGGTTTATAACAGGAAAGAATGGAGACTTTTAACTCCAGCCCAGCTGGGACTTTGCCAAAAAATGCAACTTAAGTAAAAAGTGAGGGCGGGAGGGGGAAGGGAACTGTATTTTCCAGTTATTTTGTCATCATGTTCTGACCAGCCCCAGCCCCAATTTGCTACACCCCCAAGAATCCACCCCCAATTTGTTACACATTTATCCCACACCAACACAACAGGCCACACTCCAGCGCACAGTTATTTATTAGCTGGAGCCTGGCATGGAAATATCACCAGAGGCTGCCTGGAGGCAGCACCAGAGCCCAGGGATGTGACTGAGGGAGATGAAAAAGGACTGAAGAGCACAGGGAATTGAAGGGGAAGCTCTGCCAGTTCAGAGGCAGTGCCAGCCAACCTGCACCTGGGTCTGCCCAGATTACTTAGAAGGTCTGAAAAGAGAAGAATTTTAAAAGGATGAACTCTCTTCTCAAGAATTGTCTATTCCCAGTACAGGAGACCTGAAGAGGTTTTGCTGGCTTTAGCTGCAGTTACATTTTCTGCCCAAACTCCAGAACAAGAAAAGAGAAGTGAAAGATGAATAAATAAAATCAGGTTCACAAGGAGCAAGAGAAGAAACCACAGACTGAATCTCCAGCTATTTGATTTCACTGTGAGAGGCCACCCTCACAGAGCTATACATGGAAGTGTTCCCCTTGCTAAGACTCCATTTACCCAGGAAAACAAGTTAATTCCCAACACACCTGGGAGGTGCTACGTGCTCTGACTCAGTGACTCAGCGAGCCCGACCGACGGATCAGGAACAATCCAGGCTCACACAGATCCACTTTAAAAGTGTTTGAAGGGATAATACCTGGAGCTGCTGGATGTGTCTCAAGCTCCAGCACATACATCTCTAAGACTCTGCAGTTCTTGCAGTGATGGCAAACATCACTTTTTTTCCCTTCAGAGCACAGAGACTATATAATCTGGCAGATTTAGGAAGAGACACTTGTGGCAGCTAAGAGGGCAGGACATAGGGAATACTTTGCCAGTATTCCCACCTCTGCAAGTCCCCACATCAGAGGAAAAACCTGGATGCACTCCAGGTGTAATAAGGCTTTCCTTCATTTCTTCACCAGACACATGTACATCCCAACATTTAAAACTCCCACCCTCCACTAGCCCAGGTTGCTCCAAGCTCCATCCCACCTGGCCTTTAAACACTTCCAGGGATGGGGCAGCCACAGCTTCTCTGGGCAACCTGTGCCGGGGCCTCACCACCCTCACAGGGAAGAATTTCTTTCTAATATCCAATCTAAACCTAGTTTCTTCTAGTTTCAATCCATTCCCCCCTGTCCTGTCACTACAATACCGATACCAGGCAAATCCCACGCTCCAACAGCAAAGGACTACACATGGATCTGTGAGGTTCAGGGAATCTGACACCTGTCCTCCTCCAGCCTTTCACCTGGCAGGAAAGTGCCACGAATAAAAGAAAACAAGCATTTTTCCGTATCAGGTGACATCGGCACCCCCCAGTACGGTAAGTGTCACACAGGCAGGTCACCATTCACCTGCAGGTGTTAAAAGCTCAGCTCGCTTTCATTTTCGGCTGATTCGCAGCAGCCAGAACAAGAATTCGGGACAAAACGGGGGGTCGCAGTTACCACCAGGAGGCAACAGAGACCTCGAGCTTTTTTTCCCCGCTGAACACCGGGCACATAAACAAGACTTTTCCAATCCAGGATTCGCCGGGTGAATATCCAGCACGGGCACCCGGGCAAAGGGGAAAGCAGCTCTCGGCAAGGCTACGACGCGAAAGGCTGGATTAATCCAGGGAAATACAAACAGGGCCAAATCGAGCCTCTTTTGGCTTGGATTTCGTTAGTAAAAAGGGCCCCCCGGGCGGCCCACCTTGAGCAGCTTGATCTCCCTCACGGCGATCTTCCTCACCGCCGCGTCGTCCTCGCTCTCCAGGAACTTCTTGACGGCCACGATCTGCCCGCTCTCCCTGTTCCTGCACTTGGTCACCACCCCGTAGCTGCCTTCCCCCACCAGCCCCAGCACCTGGTACTTCTCCATGGCCGGAGGGACCCGTCTGGAGGGCCCGGACCCGGCTGGAGAGGCCGGACCGGGATGCAGCGACTGGACCGGGATGGAGGGACCCGGGATGGCCTCGGCCCCCGGTCCAGCGCGGCGTCGCCGGGGCAACGGCCCGCCGTAAAGCGCAGCCGCGCCCCGCCTGTCGCAAAAGCCTGCGTGGAAACCCGCTTGGCTTACAAAGAGTAAAAAAAGAAAACGGGCCTTATAAAATATTATAAATAGAAAACGTTATAAAGCTCGCTTGCATAAAGCCAGTGAGGCACGTAAAGGAGAAATGGCTAAAGCAACCCTGCGCTTTTGAGCGGAGTGCTGCGTTAAAAGGCAGCCTGAAAAATACTGACTATTCCCCGTGTGCTGCTGGGGAGGCTGCTGATGTTGCCAAGGATGCGGCCATGGAAAAGGCGGAATAATTTGCTTTTAGATTTAGATGTTTGTGCCAGTGCCCTTGCTGTGCGTTTTATCTTAAAAAGATGGCAGTTTCTGCACATACTACCTGCAACTTAACACCAGGCACGAACCCTTCAGGAGGCAGGAAAGCTGAAGCATCCCTGTGTGTTTACTGACAGAGACTTCATCCAAGATATTCTTAATCCAACTTCCTCTTGTTCTTTCCATCCAGCCACAGATGTAGCAGCACATGATGGTCTTCTGCTCACAGTGACTTGTCTTGCCCTGGACAGGAGTGGCACGGCAGGACACGTGTAGGAAAACACAACCAGAAGCTGCAGAAACAAAGACATGCCATGTGGATATTCCCGATATTCTCTCCTCGGTTTGGTGGCCTCCATTTCACAGATGAGGGTACTGTAGAAAAAGAGGTGTCCAATTTCTCTGAAGAAATTTATGGGCACTTGTCAGGCTGGAACTACTGCAACATCCCTCTTTGGGAGAGGAACAGTATATGCCTTGCCAAAAACGCCAATTCCCCAGGAAATGGAGGCATCATATATCCCCAGGAAATGGAGGCATCATATATCCCAGTGATACTTTCTGGAACCTTTACTGCATTTCTCTTGAGTCACATCGATATGAGTCACCTTCTGCAACTAATTCCTGGTTGTTTTCACGTCTCCTTCACCCTCATCCTCACTCTCTGCATGCAATTACTGTAATGAACCTTTCCAGGCTGACCTCACATTTCCAGGGGGGCGAAAAAATATCAGAGCTCAGGTGGCATTGATTTATTATATTCCTCCTACCTTCTCCTGCTCATCAGTAGCAAGTGCCTTCTCTGGGTCCTGGCATCTGTCCCGTGCTGCTAATGGAGAGCTGACTTGGAATCCAATTAACTCCTCCACCCCTGAGATACTTTTGGATCCATTAAATGAAAGGAACAAACCACACGTATACAATGTCACCATTAACTTGTCATGGACAAAGGGGGATGGATTCAAACAGAAAAAGAGCAGTGTTAAATTGGATATTAGGAAAAACACTCTTCTCTGTGAGGGTGGGGAGGCCCTGGCACAGGTTGCCCAGAGAACCTGTGGCTGCCCCATCCCTGGAAGTGTCCAAGGCCAGGTTGGATGGGGCTTGGAGCAGCCTGGGATAGTGGAAGGTGTCAGGGAGCCAAACCAGAACTGGATGAGCTTTAAGGTCCCTCCCAGGATTCTGTGATTCCATGTGTCAGTGTGGTGTTATAATTTAAAGCCCGAGAGCCTGAAGAATGGATGAGATACCTTGCTAAACCTTACAGTGTCCATGTTCCAGGTATGTTTGGCAGTCTGGAGGTACCACAGTGGCACTGACCGAGTCCAGGCTTGATTAACAGGGGAGAAACCCTTTTTTCTCTCATAACAACAGGGACCTTGAACCGGGTTCCTCCTTCTCCAAACCGCGGCGATGCTTTCTCACCCTGACCACGGGAACCCTGTAACTTTTTTTTTTTCCTCTCCTTTTCAAACACAGGCTACGCCGAGCCCCTCCCACCTGCGAGGAGCCCGGGAAAAGCCGGGTTCGGGGGCGGTCCCGGGGAGGGGCGGGCTGATGCCGATGTGATGCCGGAGCCGTGGGCGGTGCCGGCGGTCGGGGCGAGCAGCACCGCCCGCCCCTGCGCAGCCATGAGGCTGTGCCGGCCCTTTGTTCCCGGGGGTCCGCGGCCGCCCATCCCGATGGCCGGGGCGGCTTGAGCCCGGCGGGAAGGGAGGAGGAGGAGGAGGAGGAGGAGGAGGAGGAGGAGGAGGAGGAGGAGGAGGAGGAGCTGTTCCCAGCAGGATGCGATGGGGAACTGCTGGGCGCAGTGGTGCTGCGGGCTGTTCTTCCGGAGGGACGCGGGCCGGCTGCAGCGCGGCGGAGGGTGAGCGGGGGGACCGCGGCTGCCCCTTTCCCCTCCCCGGGGCGGGGAGGTGCCGGCACAGCCCGGCCCCGCCTTCCCGGGGGCCCCCGAGGGGCAGGAGGGGGGGTCACAGGGCCGCGGGGCGCACCCAGACATCGTATCGCATCGCCCCCGCAGCCCCTCGCCCCTTCCCGCAGGGAGCCGCGGCATCCCGGGGGGATGGAGGTGGATGGAGGCGCCGGGGAGCCCGCTGGGCTCCGTGCGGTTTGTGCGGCCGGGGGTAATGCACTTCCAGGGTAACCGGCTCCTTACCCCTTCCAGCAGTGTTGTTTTTCCGGCAGGAGACGCTCGGGAAGGTTTTTCGGGTCAGCTGCCGAAACCCGTGCAGGCGGCCGTGGGTTTGGGTGGGAAAACACCCGGTTTTTCTGCAGTGGGAGCTCGTCCGCTCTGTGAGTCAGAGGCTGAGGCGCTGCTGGGGTAAATCGGGAGCAGAAGGGTTCAGATGAACTCATATCTCTCGCAGAATGGTTGGAATGAACTCATGTCTCTTCATATCTCTTGTAAATGTGTAACCCCGGTTTCATTCTGCAGCGGCCAGTCCATGGAAAAGAAGTGTGCAAACGGGAAGGAAATCCTACCTGTAAAAAAAAACCTTGTTTTTGTTTTTTTTCCCATATACCAACCAGTATTTGATATCTACCTATTGCTTATTTTTGATGTGTTAGGATAGAAGCAGTTCTAGACAGACACACTGAGCATTTTACATGCTGCAAACCCGTGGCCTCTTATTTCACATTGGCTCTGGCAGGCAAGTCTCACCTTCTCCTAAAAGGGCTTCAAGACAAGCTGCCTCTCAGAGAATTGGGTGAAAAACCAGGGCAGTGTGTGTAGAGGATACCTGCTTGTATTTTTAGTACCGTAGCAGAGGGTAGGAGAACATCTGAAATGCCTTGACAGCAGGCAGCACTTTCTTGTGTTCTGAAAAAAAAAAACAAGATAATGCTTGAAAGGTTCTTCCTCCACATGTGCTTTTTGCACAGTTTCCACTCACAGGCCAATACCCCAAGTCTGCAAATTACATTGCTACAAAATTATGCACATTTGGCTACTTCTGGAACAGCATAATGTAATAATGCAGCTTATCAACTTCAGGATTATTTTAATCGCTCAGAGCCCTCCCTCCCCCCCCTCCCAGTTTCATTATTTTTAGATGTTCCAAGATTCGACTGCAAGAAATAAACTCCCAATTAAATAATTAAGTATAGAGTTTTTAACAAGTGTTTTGATAACCTGCAAGATTATAAGTTGCCTTGCTTGGAACTGTGCTTAAAATACATATATATATATATATATGTATGTATGGAGTGCTGTAAAGTTAGTCTCTCTAATAACTTCAGGTCTTTGAAGCTCGTGTGGTTGTGAGCTTGGAAATAATTTACCTAATGCCTGGTGCTGTAAAGTGCCACGTGTCCCAACTGCACTTACCATGTAGTGCATGAATTAAAGTGGCCTTTCCCCCCTGGTTTCAGAGCAGTGAATCCACTGGAAACGGTTCCTTAGTGGCAGGAAAGGTTGTGCAACAAGGAACGAGTGGGTTGTGCAACAAGTTGCCAGGGGAGACGTTCCCTAAACCGACTTCCAAGGAAAAATGAGATGGAGATGAAATAGGATACGATTCAAATAATGCAACCTTTGGCTGGTGTGTTGGTTTTGTTATTGTGGAAGCAGGTGTTGGGTTGCAAGTACTGAACAATCTTTTGTGCCAAGTGTAGAACTCCCTGAGGCCCTGGGTTTATTCCTGGTACCAGTCAGCACTTGCAACTGGAAACCCTGGTTTTCCAAACAGTTCGATGAGATGGATGTTGGACTGAAGTGTGTTTACTTTTGAGTGTTCTTCTGGAGGATGGCCAAACCTCTCTGGCTGGGTGAAAATGTATTCACAGGTAACTTGATACTGGGTTGGGTTTTGTAGAGGACAGTGTTAACTGTCCTCCATAAAAGAATTAAAACAGGAAGAATTCTGATTAAAGAAGCAAGGAGGAGATGATTCCCTGTATAAAATTAGACAGTGAGTTTTTTGGGTGGTTTTTTTTTGGTAGTTGAAAAGTTTTTTCTTAACCTCTTTGTATACAGACATTTTTCTGAGGTGCAACCTTGTAGCTGTGCCAAGGTGTGTTGTTGAACACTGATGTTGTACAGGGTGCTTGGAAAGAGTTAAGTGTCATGACGAGCAACAGCATTTTCAGAAATGGCCTGGAATCGTGTTTTTCAAGGGAAAAAAATGTATTAAAGGGATTGCAGAACACGCTGACAGTCTGTAAATGTCAAGTCCAGCATCCTGATAAATGATTTCATCTCGTGAGGGTTTTAGTTTTTTCTCCAGTTCTACAGAAAATGTTTACATGCTTTTGCCTCTTTCCACTGTGGTAGTGACACCGAGCTCAGGTTAACGAGTCAATTTGTTGAACACCTGAAGATTTTGTGGTTATTTTATGCTTCCTTAAGCGTATTTTAAAAGCTATTTTAAACTCTCTGGCTCATTTTCCTTCTGCTGTGTATTGGAGACTCTTCTGTAGTGTAACTGCCAACTTCTTTTTCCAGATCCAAGTATTTTAGAACGTGTTCAACAGGAGAACACTTCACCATAGAGGTGAGTGCTTACAATTTATAGTGATGCAAGAAAAAGTGGGAAAAGCTGAATCCCAGCAATGCCCTTTAACACTTTTTGCAGTTTATGAACACTGAAACGTTCTGGGTTATTCCAGACCAAATTGATGCTGCACTGGGTGACATATAGTGGTCCTTACAGCACCTCAGAACATGAATACATCACCTCTCTTGCATCTATTATGTGGAAAAAAGAGAAGTATCTGTTATGATCTGAGACTCATCACCAGAGCGTTCCATAGTCTGCCTGTTGCATCTGTCACCTCTGCTGTGTTGGGAGTGATTTTTTTCTGCTTGTCTCAAGTGCAGAATATTTAGTTCTTGATTGCAGGATCATGAATCAGATGGTACAGAAAGAACCTGATGGGGTTCCCTTACAGTTTGTTCGCTACGGGGGGTCCTTTCTCGGCCTCCAAATTTCACCCCTTTTTGCCCAGGGGAGTGTGAGGTTAATTTGCATTAAGTTGAGATTCTTGGAATAATAACCTGGTTTACTTTCTCTGAGTGTTCTGTATGGTCTGGAAGTCCTGGGCCGTTCAGATTGCCCCCATTACTGGGGATAACATTAATTACTGAAATTAATGCTTTCAAGAAAGGGGGCAGATGTACGTGGTGGAGGATTCCTGTTTTGGTGGACAACTTCCAGTTGTGAGAGGCTGTTCCTGCTGCAGAAATAGCATGGGGAAAAGAAGGTTTTGTTCTCCTCCCAGATTTTTAGGTCAATAAGGAGGTACTTGCTGTAGGTACTGACCTGACTAAATTTAAGATGACTGTACTAAGAGCAGTACAGATAATTTCTGTTTGCTTATTTTTTAATGTGCTAGCTGAGCTTCTGCTGGGCAGGTTTGTGCAGCTTAGAATGCTTTGGTTTTTAATTTGGACTCTTCTCCTTTTGGGAGAATGTAATATTTAAGAAAAGAAACATTGGTAAGAAGGCAGGTCCTACTCTGAAAGTAATAATGCCTCTAAAATTAGAGACTTTCATGTTAGTCCCACTCATCATCGGAGTGTTTTAAATTTATTTCAAATTTATGTTTTAAAAAGACAAATTACATGTGTAATCATATTTGCTGTATGTCTGTAGTGACTTGTTATATTGAATTGTAAAGATTATTTCCTTTCTTTTTCTCTGCAGTTTGAGAACCTCGTGGAAAGTGATGAGGTGGGTACCTGGAGAATCCTGGGAAACCTCAGATAATCCTTAAAAGTGGTTCCAAGATGTGAACCTTCCTCCCACTGTGTTCTTGACTTATATCACAGGGGGTTTTATCCTCCAAGTTTTCCTTGCTCTGGGAATGAGTATTTAACAGTGTGGATGAAGATCTAAGAGAAGAGATTTTTTTTTTGGGGTGGGGGGGGAATATGGGAAGTAACTCTTTCGGGAAGAGAGCGCTGTGGACCTTGGGAAGGCAAAAAGAAGGGGAGGGGGAGAAAGTGTGTTTGGGAAGACTTAAAGCAGAATTTGCTCCTGGTGTAACTCTTGTGTAAAACTCAGCCAAGTGCTCTCTGCCTGAGAGCATAAATGGACCTGGGTTGCTTGACTAAGGAACTTTTTGAGAATGCTCTGTCTTTACAATTACAGGTAAACTGGCTGAACTTGACCTTAAAACTTCACTCTTAAAAGTTTAACAGGGCCTGTTAATGGGCAGGGCACACATCACATTTTCAATGTATTTAAAAACACGAGGACTAATAGTTTGGTTCCTGAAATACACCACCAGAATATTTATTTTCAGTTGGATGTACTTACTTGTTTCACTTAGTCAGCCACTTCAGTTGATTGCATAGCAAGATTATTTTTAATTCCAAATGAAAACTGCATTTTTTCCCCCCCCTAATTGTAGAATCAATATATGGGAGAAACTGTGATTTCACATTGGTGGTTTTTTTTTTTAATTTTAACAGGGAGAAAGCCCAGGAAGCAGTCACAGGTAAGACTTGGAGGTTCAGGACCTCCCCTTCCCTCTGCTTCCCCTCTGTGATAAACAAAATGAAGTAAGGGACAAACAAGGGGTGAAAACAAGTAAGGAAAAAGTGAGATTTATACTGCAATGATAGTAATTGTTCTCTTCCAGTAGTTCTCTTAGCAAAGGTTTTGAAAATATGCTTCCCATAAAGGTATAAATAATATATATATTGTAATAATAAGGAGAGACAGCACTGCCCTGAGTAAACTGGAACTTTGGAACTCTGTTCTCAGGAGGAACAGCTCGTTGGATCTGCATTGAAGGGCCAGTCAGGAATGACCACGTGGATATGTTAAAGAGCAAATTAGGCTTGTCATGCATGAATTATAGATGGAGCCTTTCTGTGTTTCTCCCCCTGCTTTCAGACCTCTGACCGAGGAAGAAATTGCTGACTTGAAAGAGAGACACTACGACTCCATTGCTGAAAAGCAGAGAGTTGTTGACCTGAAGCTTCAGTCAGAGGTGAGTGGTTACAATGGCTAGTCCAGTAGGGATGGGTTTCCTTTCAAAAAAAGTTAAAATCAACCACGAACCGCCAGGAGAGTCCACGAAACAACTGGATTTTGTTCAGCAGTCGGTATTTTTTTAGTGTCCATAAACACAGGTGGCTTCTTTTTAATACCCTCTTAGCTGAAAAATGGAATGAACAGGCCGGGTCTCTGACCAGGATCTGTTAAATTTAACCTTTTTTTTTTTTTTTTTTTTAATGGGGAATATTCTTGATTCAACTTTTCTTGGGCTCAAGTTTTTTCCACAACTTTTCTTAAGGAAAAAAAAAAACACCACCACATAATTAGTTGTTTTATTTTACTGTTGCAGCAATTAATGGGATATAATGTGGGATATAATGTAGGATTTGAATGATTTTTTAATCAAATGCCAATAAATTATGGAAGTGAAAAGACTGAAATCTTTCAGTGTGCAGTTCATAATAACAAACAACAAGCACTTAGAGCAATTCACTAATGATGTTTACTCAACAGTTACCTAAATTTCTTGGGAGGTTTGGTGTGTGGGGGGAAGCTATTAAATTCGCTTAATGTTTTAGCTGTAGTCGATTTTGTTTTACTTTTTACTTTCTAGCTGCTTTTCTTTTTTTGTTTTATTGCACTTATGGCTTTATTGCTAGGAAGATAGATAGGTTCTGCTTTTGTTAACCATTACTGTTTTGTTCATATACAGTTAGCCTTACAAGAGGAGAAGTTAAGACTAGAAGAGGAGGCTTTATATGCTGCACAACGTGAAGCAGCCAGGGCAGCAAAGCAGAAAAAGCTCTTGGAGGTGAGGGGAAAAAAAAGACCCCAATATATATATATATCTCAGAGCCTCTGTTCTCTTCCCATGTATGCAGTATTCCCTAATAAATATCCTTCCCCATCTCAGGAAAACTAATGAGGAAATGGCTTTGGCCTGTAAAGTAGAGAAAGAAATGCAAGGTTTGAAAGTACAGCTGGTTGGAGCAGCTGAAAAATCACCAGAATTGTTTGAAACAGCTTCTGTCGCCGAGTATAGATTTTGAATGGGTTACAATTTTAATCTATAATTATCTTCACACACTCCTTACATAATATGTAGAAGTCACTGATCTTAAATGCAAAACGATCTCTGATGGTTTTCTGGTTTAAAAACACCCCTGAAGTTAAGCACGTGTTGTACCATTTAGACTTGTAAAAATGTACTTGATATATTTGTGCACTTAATTGTCCCTGATCTCTGTGGTTTGTGTTGACCCCGCTTTAGAGTTTTCATCTAATATTTATGTCACTAAGTATGGCTCTCATTTCACATTTCTCTGTCTCACCTCTTGCCATTTGGTGTGGGAGGGTTAATTCTTTCTTTCTGACCTTTTTGCCTGCCTTTTTTTTTTTTTGATAATACTTTTGGTCTATATATAAAGCCAGCAAAAGTAGATTTTTTTTCTTTAATGGCATTAACTGGTTTTTGTAGAAGTTCTGTGCAAGAAGTGATATTTTTCTTGTCTTTCACTATTTTTAAGATACGCTTCTTTTAGTCAGGACCTCAGATAGAAGGGATTATAGAGATTTTAATTTCCTCTTCGTGTAAAATTAGTACCACTTATCTCCTGAACCAACCAACCCCTCAAAAGCCATCAGGATTATGTGGATTTCTAAGGAAGCATTTTTGTATAGATACCCATCAAGCACTTAGCCCTTCTAGATAAACCAGCAGCTATTTTTGAATGCATCACTCATCTCTCTGCTGTTTGTGGGCACAAATGGGAAAGTGGCTTCTTCCTTGGAAGTCTGGCCTCCTTTAAAACTCATTTGGCTTGCTGATGGTGCCCTACTAAATGTCAGGGTTTGTAACAGCAGGGAATGTTAATATATGTGTGTCCTGGAACTGGCAGTGCTGGATATTGGCACGTGACCTGGCAAAATGGGGAGATAATTTAAATTGGATGTTATGTGGGTATATAAATCCTATAAGAAAATTGTTGCATGTGTCAGTAATCGATTTTTGACAGACTTGTTGGCTGGGTTGGTGCCAAATTTCTGTCTCTTTCTCCATGTCTTCTCACCTAAAACCCACCATAATGTGACATTTCTACTTCTATGCTTATCGTTTCCGTACTGGTTTCAATCTGCAATTGTTATTATTATTTAAATATCCAAGATGGAAAGTGTGCTAAAACCCAAAGCTACCATCATCTTGGGACTGAAAAAATACCATATCCAGTGCAGTTATCTCACCACACTGTTTACCCAGCAAAGAGCAAGTCTTAGATGGAGCTGACATTGAAAATTCTGGTTCCTTTACCCCTGCTTTTCTTTGGCAGGGACAGATCCATTTAAGGCTGAGAATAGATTTTTCAGTCACTAGATACATCAGGCTTGTCTCTAAAACTAGCACATTCAGTTTTATCACAGTCTTTGTCCTAATCACTGAACAATTACTGTTTCTTAAGTGATTTACCTTGAGTCTGAGGGTTTCTGTGCCTGCTTTTTTTATGCTCCCGTTTTTTCAAGGCAGGAAAAAAGAAACTTGAGACAACTTCAGTTGTTTAAACTCCCCCAAAACTTAAACAGAACCCTACTTCCATGTCTGTTGTTCCTCTAGTAACTTAAAAATAAAGGCCCTGATGGCTTGTCTTGCATTTTTCATTCTGGTTTTGCCCAGTGCACGCCATGAAAGCTTTAAGAGTGTCGAGTTATTAATCCTTCTGGCCCAGCAAGGCAGCAAAGCTGTTATTAATATGGATGAGGCACTTAGTGCTGAGGAAATGGGATAAAAGGATTTGTAGGGAATATTTCTCTCTAACAGAGGTAGAGTGGCTATCAGACATCACCCAGGTGTCAGCTGTGAGCTGAAAATACCTGTGGCTTAAGGAGAGAAGACAAGAGGGGAAAAAAAAAAAGGACAGGTGCAGTCATGACTGAGGGGGCTCTAAAAACTGATGTTTGGGGTTTTTTTGGGGGGGGGATGCATTTAAAATAGGTTTCTTGAGAGCTCTGTTTTGAGTGTGTAACTCTTGAGTGATTGCCTTCAGCTTTTTCAACAATGTACTTCTCTTGATAGCAACGTAGGCAGCAAAGGATAACTCAGAGAGCACATGCTGTAAATAATGGAGAGTTTCAGAGGTAAGAGATCCCATTTTGTTCATGATAACTGAGAACCTTGACTGTTTCTACTCCTGCCCTTCATCTGCAAAGTCAAGAGGGGAGTTTGCATCCGTTCTGGTTTTCACTGGCCTTATTTAAAACTGAACCTGCTCCCAGCTACTGATAGATATATGCCCACAAAATCTAGTACTTTGTATTAAAAAGGTGTTTATATGTGAAGTCTCAGCTAATATAAAGATCTTTTATTATTCAGAACCCTGCTGGAAATACCCAGTAGAGATACACTGATTGAATGGTTTATGCAGTCTGCCTGTTTCTTCATTAATATTATTAATTTAATTCTCTTCACTGCCACCTTCTGTGTTCGATGTTAGGGGGGGAAAAAACCAACCAACCAACTAACAAAAAAAACCTCAGAAAAATTTCCTGTGGGATGGTGCTCGAGTTTAGAAAAAAAAATGTTAAAATCCAACGTCTGTTTTTACATGGAAGAGAAGGGGGCTAGAAAGGGTTTTCACTTAGGGAAGTGCTGTTAGAAAAGGAGCTGGGAAAACTGAGGTTTTATGGTGTGAGTAGGAACTAGCCAGATTTTAAAAACAAAGGGCTGGAGGAGCAGGATTCGGATTAATTAGTTAAAAAATGAATTGAAAATTAGGGAGATTTTACCTACAGTGATGAAGAGAGGGGAAGAGTTTTTGAGATGAAAGTTAATTCATTTTTAGCTGAAAATACTACTAAAAATTGAGCAGAAGCACAGAGTGGGAGAGGATGTGATGAATAAGAACAGAAAAGCGTTTTCTAGATCATTTTATGAAGAATTTAGTTCAAGGTGTATGTGCTTTGTAGCACAGAGCTGGGGGACATGTGGATTGACATCTTTTAGGGCATGCTTAGAGGTTCAGAAAGCTAAAGAACTGTGCATTGTTCTTCCAGCTCTGTGGCAGAGGAGGATCTCGATCCTTTCTTAAGGAACACAAAATTCCAGTACGAAGCTTTTCGAAGCAGCAGTAAGTCTTCCCTTTCTTATGCCTGCCTTAAAATACTCTGAGGAGGACAGAGTGCTATTTCTTTTTCTAGATAAACATAATTTATTTTTTTATATATATCAATTGTGTATGCACGGATCTGTATTAAAAAAATCTGACAGGTCTTTTTATCTGATGGATAGAAAATAGAGGTGAACTTTCCTTGTCAAACCTGTGTATTATTAAAGATGCAGATGTGTGTTTGTAGCTTTTTTTTTTAAACGACCTCTTAGCAAAGCAGTTAGAATCATAATAATGGTTAGTTTTTTTTCCTAATGCAGCACAAGAGGGAATTGGGTTGCCTGTATTTAAAAATTCCACTGACAGTTTAGAGGAAAGCGATTTTATAAACTTTTATCCCCAAACTGTGGTGACAGTACAACGATCACTAAGAAATTGGAGGAGTGATGGCAATTCTTGAGGAAATATTGCCAGTAGTTCATTCTTCTGGGGGGAGAGGGTTGATTTTTGGGGGTTTTTTTACAGGTCTTCATACAAGTCCAGCTTACATCTTATTAAATTCCTCTCTGGTTCTAATTAGATAATCTCCTAGTGAAGATGACTATTAAAAATCTACTGATGATGTTTTGAAGTGAAGTACCTTTTCCAGCATTCCTGAGGTTTAAAGGGCCGTAAAGCACATTAAAAAGCTTAATTTAATGGTTTACTTTTGCATATTGAACCTCGAATTCAAGTCTGGTTATGGATTAAAAAGACATTTTTATTTGTTTCACGTAGGGCTTTCCTCTGATGCCACAGTGCTGACACCCAACACAGAGAGCAGCTGCGACTTAATGACCAAAACCAAGTCAGTGAGTGGGAACGACGACAGCACCTCCTTAGATTTAGAGTGGGAAGATGAGGAAGGTATTTATGACTCCAGTTTCATTCTGAATGTATAAAGTTACAAACCCTGACAGTTTAAAAACTGTGTCGATGGTAAATCTGTGGTTTTTCAAAGGGGAGGGTGATTTAAAACTTAATGCAATTTCTGGCCCAGTCTGGAATGGTTAACCTGTGAATTATTTTTACCGAGAGAATTCCTTATTTTGATAAATGTGGACGTGGCCCCAGTAAATAAATGAATTTATTTGGGTCCTTTAGTATCCCAACAAAACAAATGGCAGAGAAGTGCTGCCCTCTGGCGAGCCAGGAGCAGAAGGAACAATTTATTCTTTTAAAACGTGGAAGTCGGTCAGGTTGGCTGAACTGTTTTGGGAAAAACCCTAATTACTTTTACTGTAACTTTTCCTGGGAATTTAGATCTGTGTTCCAGTGAATATCCCAGCTGTCCTCATTGCTGTTGCTGTGTGTTACAGGTGCTTTCTGTTTTATTTAGTAAGCCTGCAAAAGCTCTTGTCGTATTTCCAAGTTTATCCAAGATTTTGAGACCTCGACTCCTGAAAAGCTCACCAAAAATCAGGATTTCTTTGAGCCAATGCATAGCTGATTTTTCTTTTTTTAATTTTTTTGCTTTAATACACTGTTTCTGCCAATCTTTGTGTAGGTTAAATGTTTAGCACTGTATATTATACTATTATTTAGCTGCTTGGAGGGACCCATGGAACATGAACATAAAATCTGTAATTGGAGTCTGATGAAGGGAAAAATTTATCTCTTGGATATTTTTTTTTTTCCTGTGCCACCCCCCCCACCCCCAAAAAGTTGTGGGTTTCAGTTGCAATATGTAACTTTTTAATAATTAGTTACTCCAGATTTAAAAGGGGAGTTTATTTAGGAATGCACAAGGATTGCAGTGAACAAGGGGAGGATTTAGGGTGGTTTTTAATAGAATCTT